AGAGCCAGGGAGGGGCAGAGAGTGAGAGAGGGAGACAGAGGATCCAAAGCAGGCTCTGCACTGACAGCAGAGAGCCCGATGTGGGGCTCAAACCCATGAACTGTGAGATCATGACCTGAGCCAAATTTGGATGCTTAATCAACTGAGCCACCCAGGCGCCCCAGAAACAGTTTATTTCCGTAGATTGCTAGTGCATTGTGCCATTACTCCCCTTGGTGTAGTTTGTGTTAAATATACATATAATTGGGAGGTTTTTGGTTACTTCTTGTGCAGTTACATAAATACGAAGAGAATTATGGGGAGGCCCTGGAGGGCTTCTCTCGGGCTGCAGCACTGGACCCTGCATGGCCAGAGCCCCGGCAACGAGAGCAACAACTTCTGGAATTCCTGAATAGATTAACCAGTCTCCTTGAGAGCAAGGTAAAGTTGTCAGAAGGCCAAATCGTACTTTCATCCTCCTGACCTTGTGGATCAAATAAAATAAGAAAAGACTAGGCTTCAGTAGTGGTGACCCTACCTGTAGAAGTGGGTAGGTGGGAGTAGGAATAGGTTTGCAAAGAGAGCAGACTAGCTTCCAGCTTCTTATCTCTTTTTCCTTTTTTGTAAATTAAAAAAAAATTTTTTTAAGTTTCTAAAAAAATATTTTTTTAAGTATTTATTTTTGAGGGAGAGAGACAGAGACAGAGTGTGAACAGGGGAGAGGCGGAGAGAGAGAGGGAGACACAGAATCCGAAGCAGGTTCCAGGCTTTGAGCTGTCAGCGCAGCTGACTTGGGGCTTGAACCCACAAACCTGTGGGATCCTGACCTGAGCCGAAGTGGATGCTTAACTGACTGAGCCACCCAGGTGCCCCATCCTTTTTTTTTTTTTATTTAAGCCCAAGTTAGTTAACATATAGTGTAATAATGATTTTAGGAATAGGATTTAGTGCTTCATCACTTACATATAACAACCAGTGCTCATCCTAACAAGTGCCCTCCTTGATGCCCATCAACTACTTAGCCCATCACCCACCTCCCCGCCATCAACCTTCAGTTTGTTCTCTGTATTTAAGAGTCTCTTATGGTTTGTCTCCCTCTCTGTTTTTCTTATTCTTGGTTCCCTTCCCCTATGTTCATCTGTTTTGTTTCTTAAAATCCATATATCAGTGAAATCATATGGTCTTTCTCTGATGGACTAATTCTGCTTAGCGTAATATACTCTAGTTCCATCTATGTTGTTGCAAATGGCAAGATTTCATTCTTTTCGATTTTTTTTTTTTTTTTTTTGCAGGGAAAGGTGAAGACCAAAAAGTTGCAGAGCATGCTGGGAAGCTTGCGCCCGGCCCATCTAGGCCCTTGTGGTGATGGGCGCTACCAGTCAGCCTCCGGGCAGAAGTTGACCCTGGAGCTCAAGCCCCTGAGTGCACTACAACCCGGTGTGAACAGTGGTGCTGTGGTCCTAGGAAAGGTGGTATTCAGCCTCACCACAGAGGAGAAAGTCCCCTTGTGAGTTTGTTTTCCCTTTCCTCTTTTTCATTCTTTTGAATTGGTCTCACTTGGCCTTTCTTTGACATTTGAGGACATTGTTTGTGGTCACAGATTAGTGAGTTCTGCTTCCCTCTGTGACTGTCTCATGAGTGTTGAGGTGATATCTAACAGTCTCTCTGTAGATTCTGTCATCACCCATTTTTTTCTCTGAGCTTGGTGCTCTGTGGATTCCTACATCCATAGCTGAAATTGAACTGCTGTGTTTTTTAGAAGACAGAAGGAAACCTTGAAATTCTCCTGCTTCTTTGTGTTTTCATGATCATAGAAGTTAAAGGAGGAAAAATTTTCAGTCCTGTTTGGACTTAGGTATGACTAGGCAGTTCCGAAAGGTTAGCTTTGAGTTAGACTTTAAGGCCTGATGGGGATATTGTCTCAGATATTATTTAACAAATATTTATTGAGCATCTGGTATATGTGTGGTAGGGAGTGAAATGTAAAGGATCCAAGTGAAGGTGCTTACAGTCTAGTAGAGGATATGAGTTAAGAACATTCACCTAGAAAAAAAATGTTCTTAAAGGTTTAATTTTTTTAAGTTCTCTCTGCACTACAGCACAGGGCTCGAACTCACAACCCTAAGATCATGAGTTGCATGCTCTACTGACTGAGCCAGCCAGGCACCCCTTACTTAGAAGATTTTTAAGCCTTGAAAAATTAGGGTTTAGTCTGTGCCATCAGTCCTTGGTCCTTCACTCACTTCCTAATCCCTTGTTGACTGGTTTCCTTTTTCTGTTTTCTACTGGATTTGTTTTTTCTAGCCGCACCAGTGTCTGGTCCATTGGCTTCCACTATGTGTTTCCACAACACTGTCTTATCTCTCACTGTTTATTCCCTTTCATATCCCTTCTGCTTCATCCAAATCGAAACACTTCCCATAATATGCCCGAGCTTTCTCCATGGTGTTTTCTAGAGACATATGGGTTGAAGAGCAAGAAGGTGGTTGAGAAAAGTTTTGTTAACTAGAGCAGACCCTAGAGCTAAGAGGAATGAGAAGGAAATTCAGACAAAGGTGGACTTTAGGGGGCCTTGAGAACAAATATTTTGTCACTCCTTGGTTTCTCTTTTTCTTAACTTCTAAATGTTAAGTTCCAGGAGGACTCTCTTTTCTCTCTTTACCAGGATGGCAAGTAGGTGCTAACTTTTATCACTTGGCAGCAGCTGCCCAAGTTACTGTATAGAAGGATTCTGAGGCTTTGATTGGATCCACCAAGAGAATGTTGGGCTTGATTGCAGGTTGGCTATGAATTCAGGTGTGTCAAGTGATGGCGTGTGTCCCAGTTCTTCACCATCTCATTATAGATCATCTCTTTTGGTGATGTCATATAAGCCCAAGGCTTTGGCTGCCTTCACCATGCTCACAGGTGGATCTCCAGCCCAGGCCTCATTTCCAAGTTTTGGATTCCTATATCCAACTGCCTCTGGGCTCCAATCAGAAATCTCTAACTCAGTAGGTTCAAAATTACTCACTTCCTCTTTCTCTCTAAACTGTTTCTCCTCCCTGCATTCTTTGTCAATCGGTGGTACCACGTCTACTCAGTCTCTTAAGACTTCTAGAAGTTGTTCTAGAATTCTCCATTCTCCTGCATTGTGGTGCTCACCACGTCCATACATTTGTTTTGGGTTTTTTGGTCCCTACCTTTCTATCTCTACTGACTTAATATAGCTCCTTATTGCTTCTCCAGACACATCTTCTGACTCCTTGTTTTCCTCTAGTGTTCCACAGTGCAGAGAAATATTTCCCAGATGCAAAACCGACCGTCGCCATTTCTTATCTAAAATCCCTTACTGCTGCTGTGGTACTTTTAGGATGAAGTTTGAACTCCTTAGATTGGCTTAGCATGCAAAAACCCTTCATAATTTACTCCTTGTCTGTCACTTTCCCACTTGTGCCTTTTGTTACTATCATGGGATTATTTTGTGGGTTTCAGAACAGCTATTTTTATGCCTCTGTGCCTTTACACACTGTTCCTGTGTCTGTCTGGGTAATCCTTTTACTGCTTCTTGGTATAGATAACATTTTCCCCCCAACATTTATTATAAAAATTTTCAAACACAGCAAAATTGAAAGAATTTTACAGTGAGTATCTGTGTACCCAACCACCTGTATTCTTCTACTATGTTACTATACTTGGTGTATCACATGTCTATCTATCTGCTTATTTATCCATTGATCCATCTTATTTTGGTACATTTCAGAGTAAATTGTAGAGATCTATATACTTTCCTCTGAATACTCCAGCGTATAGTCATTAACTAGAGTTTGGTGGGTTTTTTTTGTTTTTTTTTT